CTTTTCAGAATGAGTGTTTCTTTTGTCTTGCTCAGTGGTAAGTTCCAGTTAAAATGTCATTTTTCCTATATATTTCTTCACAGAAATGTCAAATAATCTTAGCCAAGGAGCTGGATTTACTAATGCATGGGATTTTTTTCAATAGCCACTATTATTCACAAAAGATTGCAGACAGACTAAATATATAGTGATTTCTTTTTTTTAAATGTAGTGAACATTCAACAAAACAACAAAATGCAAAAGAAAATATAACAGGCAATTTACACAGGGCTCATTGCTTGAGAAAACATTGGGAATTGATAAAATGTGCAATGTGTTTAGGAAAACAAAGAGAAAATTGTGTTGAAAGGAATGTTATATAATGTTACATAAATATATCCAAATATATAATATTTAGATAACAGTGATATATAAGGATGGAAAGTTAGGCAGAGGCTAACTTCTGGAAAATATAAATATTAGAAAATAGACTGTAGCTATTGGCATGCAAACCTAGTGAGAATTTGAGCAGAGTGTGTGAACTATGTGAATTGTGCATCATATTATTGTAGTTATTTTTTACTTCCTGGTAGAAAAAATCTGGCATTGCTATGTTGAATGGAAAGGTATCAGAATAGGAATGGGTTAGGGGATGAAAGATTCTCTGTTGAAAAATTTCACATAAAACTTTGAATAATCATGACATAGAGGAGGAATAGGCAAGCTGTGGTGGTGATAAGCAGGAATGGAGAAGAGATGGGTATAAAGGCAACTGTAAAAGCATCTCTCTTTCTTAGGATGACATTTGAAAGATAAGAGAATGTGTAACAATGTCCACTTTCCTTGTGATACTAATCTTTTTTTGTCTTCTCTTTAGGGAATTTGGTCATCGTATTAAGTTTGGTCACTATGGAAAATGTGAGCATGTGCAATAGAGTATTCCATTCATTTATTCTTTTCATTACTTAATTCTGAAAATCATTTCTCTTGGAATTTGAGGCTGTATAATAAATAACATGCCTGTCTATGCTGCATCCAAATTTGTAATAAAATTGGGGAAAAATTAAGCTAATGGAGAACTAAATACTGCATTTATTACGAATAAACATTATAACAAAAAAGGTGTTCAGTGTTCATCTCTGGGTGCCGATTGTTTAAAGTCAGCTTTCATTGTGTGTGGGTCTAAGACAGTGGTTCCCAACATGGGACACATGTCTTACGGCGGGGGGGGGGCAATTTGATTTTTAAGGGGGACAATTTGAGAATTAGTTATTTACAGTGACTTTTTTGCATTTCTTATGGTTCTAGGGGCCTCACATACAGTATATAAATGTATATTGTGACATATCTATGCATTTCGGTCTCTGTTATATGTTTTGAAACTTTATTTGCTATTTGCTATTTTTTCATATCACTTCATATTATTTTTTAAGTTTCTTAGTGATTTCTTCCTCAGTACTTCAACTGTCCTTTTGTTCTTTTACTTTTCTCTTTCATGGGTGCCATATTCTTTGGAAGCTTGTTTAGACCAAGTTAATGGTCTTTTAGGCTTCCTTCACAAGAATAGGAGCTCACTTTTTGAATAAGAATTATATGTCACAGGGGGACATCAGGATTTTAGAGATGCTTAGGTGGGGCATGGCCAAAAAAAGGTTGGGAACCACTAATCTAAGATCTGTGATCAGGTGGGCTTACCCAACACTCTCCTGGATTAAATTTATTGCAGATTGCAGGCTTATTTGCAAGGTCTGGCCCTGCCCCTCTCATCTCACTTAAACACCTGAGCAAAAGAGAAAATAATTCACACAGCTGTTTGAGACTTTCTACCTGATATTCATGAGTGAAGCCCACCTGCATTAGGAGAGAAAACTTTCCACGTGCTAATAAGAAGAGGGAGAAGGATAGCCTAGAGTTTTGGGGGGCAGACATGTTTTAGGGAGAGCTAGAAGGCATTGATAACATGTGATTCCCCTGATTCCAGCATACCTAATTTTCACTCCATCTCATCGTTCCTATTTCATTGGTCAATAAATTCCTTTTTCTTTTTTGCTTAATCCTACTTACAACCTGTCACTTAAACTTAAATGTCTTGGTTAATACAGGGAGTTCATGTTATTTTTACATTTCAGGCTGGGGAAATGAACAGTGAAAAACTTGGGCTTCTGTGTGCTCTGTGTCATTACCTATTGTTGCCACTAGGTGTCAGTCTCTTCTTAGTTTGACAAGTTCTTGATTTAACCAGTTATCTTCCAGAGGAGGTCCTACAACTCTACTTTCCAGCTAATCCACAGTCTACTTCAGCTGGCAACAGGGACCCTCCTCCTCTTACCGCTTCTACCTTCCTTGGTTTTGTACAAGTTCTTGTATATAGAGGCCCAGGCCTGTCCTATTTTAAAGAGCCTGGGCTTCTGTGTTCTGTGTTAATTCTTCAGGTGATTCTAGTGCACGTCTACATTTGAAAACTATTTTCTTTCTTTTTCTATTTTATTACATTTATTGGGGAGACATTGGTTAATAAAATTATATAGCTTTCAAGTGTGCAATTTATAATACACCATCCTATGTAATAAAGAGCTAATATGCTAATTAGACTGGATGGCGGAACGACCTTCTGGAATGACCAGTGGGCAGGGGACGGGGCCACAAGGCAGTGAGGGCCACGAGGGCTAAGGCAGCCAGAGCTGCAAAGGCCTACTCTTGCACGAATTTTGTGCGTCAGTCTCTATATAGTTGTGTATTCACCACCCAAAGTCAAGTTTTCTTCCTTCACCATATATTTGAACCCTTTACCCTTTTCTACCTCTGTCCTTTCCCTTTGTATCTATGTTTTTGTTTGTTCGTTTGTTTTCAGTTTTATATCCACATGAGTGAAATCATATGTGTCTGTTTTTACTTTTTCACTCTGACTTACTTTGCTTAGCATGATATTCTCAAGATCCATTCATGTTGTCAAAAATATAAGTATTTCATCTTGTTTTATGGCTGAGTAGCATTCCATTGTGTATATGTACCACATCTTCTTTATCCAATCATCACCAGTTGTTCCCATGTCTTGGCCACTGTGAATAATACTGCAAATGAACATAGGGGTGCATATATCTTTACAAATAAATGTTCTCAAATTTTTTTGGATAGAAAAGGGATCGCTGGATAAGTACTATTCTTAATTTTTAAAGGAACCTCCAAACTGTTTCCATGGTGGCTGTACCATTTTACATTCCCATCAGTGTGGTGAGAACTGTTTTCTAGACTGAGTCCCTCCATTCCTCAGCATGTCCTCAACAACTGGAAGAATTGAAAGTGCAAGTAGTGATGTTACTGAGGAAGTGACATTGGGGAGGTAACTTCTCTCTAGGCTAACTTGTTTTATCTCTACAATGAGAATTTTAACTTGGATAATAAAAGTTATATAACATTTATATAATTAGCATTGCTATGCATACTGCTTTGTCTTTGTCACTATATCAAACATGAGTAAAGTGAGGTCAATTAAACCCAAAATGCATTGACTGAGAGCCTAATTCAGGTAGTCATTGGCTTTCTGAGTTGGATAGAGGACTCAGAGATCATATAAACAATCTGTGACTTCTTCCACAATATTCCTAATGGGATAGCATGTACCCAGATTTCCCACTAATGGGAAATTCACTGCCTGATAAAGTATAAATAACACTATAGAGGTATGATTATTAGGAAGCACTGCTTGCCTTGAATCAAAACTTACATTTATGGTGCTTTCAACCATCAGATCCTTTCATGACAGAACAGTTTACTCACAGTTATCAGTAGAAGATGAATATTCTGTCTTCTAATCAATATATACTCAAATCATTTTTCTCCATTTACTTCAGTCATTTCTCAAGTCAAATATATTTATTATTTTTATTATTTCATGCTACATGGTCTGGACATGCTACATTTAGGTAGTATGCATCTTAAAGTATTTAGGCATAACCTCAATGGATTAAAGTTTTGATTAGCTGATAAATTCTTTTCTCAATTACATTTGGACAATACCAGGACTGGTGGGTCCCTTGTATTGATGACATGGTGGTAGCAGCTGCAGAGAAGTAGGTAGAGGTTCTCTGTCAGCTCATTGGGTACATTCGTCTTGTGGCCTTTTGCCACTGAAGGTAGCTCTGCAAGAGGCCCTTGTTCAGTCAGGCTATATAATGGTTTCAACTTAAAGACAATTCTGAATCATTTGGGGGGAAAAGTAGAGGAGGATGTGTTAAACATTTCACAATTTGCTCTTCTTATTGAAGTTTAAAATTATCCTAAAATGGTTGAATTACTTGAAGTTCCAGTTAAGTAAGCATTTCTTTTTTAATTCACTGATGCAGAACAGATTATTTCTCCCAAATGCTGGGTGCATTCTGTGTTCCTCTACCTTTTAACTAAGGACTCCTTGTTCATTTAGTAATTATTTGTTGAGAGTCTCTACTCTATGCAATGCACTGTGCTAGGTGCTGGATTAAGCAAGCAAACGAGACAGGCCGGATCCTTTTCTTGTGGAACCTGCATTCTAGTGATGAGAGATGAATAATATACAGGGAGAGGAACAGGCAATGGCAGGTAGTAAGGAATGCTGTGATGACAATGAATAAAACAAAGGCAGATAATAACAAGTGAGGCAAATAATAGAAGTTCAATAAAGAGACACTAAATAAATATTTGAGACCATGAACTCCTAGACACATACTCTAATTAAAATCACCATAACAAAAGCTTATAATAGAAAATAATAAGAAGAGAGAAACATGGAGAAAAGGTAATTTAAAAAAGAAAACTAGGTGAAAATTTTTAAATCCAATCTTGCATGGAATTTAGTACAAACATTTACAATAATCACAGAAAACACAGGCTAGCGCTTGTCTGACTTACAAGTTTTAAGGGAAAATACCCATATTAGATAACAGTGAAATCGGAGAAAATGGAATCTCTAGGCTGGCTTCTCATCCTTTGGGTATCTGTTCAAATATATCATCTCCTCTGAGAAGTTCTCTGATTACTCAATCTAATTTGTCCCCTATCTCCATGTCATTCTCTAGCCTCATACCATGATATATTTTCTTTTGAATACTTGTCAACATATGAAACCATTGATTACATAATTTAATTATGTTTTCTTTTCATTCTACAAGAAAGTAAGTTCCAAGAAGTAGAGTCCTTGTCTGTCTTGTTCACCTGTGAACCTGCAGTGAGGAAAACTGGACAGAGAAGAGAAGTGATGAGGTTGATTGTTACTGTGTCTGACTGTCGCTAAGTAATGGTATGTTAATATGTCAGGGCAGGAGGACTTACAGGGTTACATGCTATAAAGGAAATATTAAAGGGGCTGATTTGCCCAATCTGGAGAAAAAAGGCCTTTCTAGGCACTCTAGAGCTGCCTTTACATATCTGAAGGGATCTTCTTAGAAAGAGAGAGCAGATTCATTCTGTTGGGCTCCATTGTAGAGAACTAGAATGTCTGGAGGCCATATAGACATGGAGTTCTTTTGAATTTGAAAAAAATTTCTGAACAATCTAAGCGGAACAAAAATGCAGTCATCTTACTTGGTAACACGTCTATATATTAGATATTATGACATTAGGGGAAATTGGAGTAAATCCTTTCTTAATGTCCAAGAAAACACTAACATCTCTTTAGATGTTATTAATGTTCTGTAAAATAATAAACTGTGGCAAATTAAGTTTGGGAAAAATTGAGTTTTAAAAAAGTAGGGGAAAAATCTGTATTGCAAAAAAAAATAATAATAATGGAGCCTTTAATAAGTAATTCCCCAAATGAAATTGAGTATTCAGGGTTTCCCAAATCTGGTTGACCAGAGAATCCTTTAGTCAGGAAATACTAGTTAACTTATCATGGGATACCAGTGTCTTAAAGATTAAAGGTCTATGATTCTCGGCAAGTAAGAAAGATATGAAATTGGGGGTGGGAGTACAGACGCTAACAGTGGTTATCAACCTTCCTAATGCCATGACACTTTAATACAGTTCCTCATGTTGTGGTGACCCCCAACCATAAAATTATTTTCGTTGCTACTTCATAACTGTAATTTCGCTACTGCTATGAATCGTAATGTAAATATCTGATATGCAGGATGTATTTTCATTGTTTGCGACCCACAAGTTGAGAACCGCTGTGCTAGAATGTTATAGATTGAATTGTGTCTCCCCCAATTCAAGTGTTGAAGACCTAACTCCTAGCATGGCTATCTTTAGAAATCGTGGATTTACATGGGTAATTAGGGTTAAATGAAGTCATAAAGGTGGGGCCCTTATCTAATAGTACTTTAATCCTTATTAGAAAGGAAGAGACACCAGGGGTTCTGCACATGGAGCAAAGGTCATGTGAAGACACAGTGAGAAGATAGTTGTCTACAAGCCAAAGAGAGAAGCCTTAAGACAAACCAGCCCTGCCAACACCCGGAACTGTGAGAACATTAATATATTTATTTTTTTAACATATTTTTATTGATTTCAGAGAGGAAAGGAAAGGGAGAGAGAGATAGAAATATCAGTGATGAGAGAGAATCATTGAGTGGCTGCCTCCTGCACGCCCCACACTGGGGATCTAGCCTGCAATTCGGGCATGTGCCCTAACTGCAATTGAACCATGACCTCTTGGTTCATAGGTAGATGCTCGAACACTGAGCCATGCCAGCCAGGCAGAACATTAATTTCTATTACCCAATATTTGATATTTTGTTTTGGCGGCCTTAGCAGATTAATATATTCACTAATGTTGGCTGACTGGGGCTACAGGTGTTCCCTTCACTACTGAACAAATTAGACATTATTTTACTAATAAGAGATGGGAGGTGTGTGTGTATGTGTGTGTGTGTGTGTGTGTGTGTGTGGTCTAGATCCAGATAGTGTGCGGTCATCTAGAAGCAACAGGAACCAATAGGAAAAAAATCATTACTGTTCAATTCAATAGTTCCATGATTGGTACTATTTACTCTTAATCATTCAAAGAAAATTGAGGAGAACCAAAAAATAATATTCCTGCATGTGCTAACTTCCTTATCCCAAGAGAATCGGAATGAACTCCTGCTAGACACAAGATCAAAATGCAAATGTCACTGTGCCTCACTGAACACAGAGGCATGATCACAGTAGGGACTACATCAAAAACTGAAAACAAGAATATAAGAAAGGAGCTGGAGTGTAAAGGCATCATCACATAAGGGAGGGAAAAGAGGACAGACAAATGGCTAGAGCAAGTGCAGCCAAATCTGGACCATGGATTTTAAAACTGTCACCAGAAGTCCTTGCCTGCAGGGTGTTGAATGGAGTCTCTGCTGGATGCCAGAAAGGAAGGAGCCTGGTGGTTGGGGGTGGGCTGGTGCAGCAATTAGGAAATAAAAACCTAAATACATAGGGGAATTCCAACTTCTTGCCACTCAACCCAAATCAGCTTTATTCATCATTCGTACAAGTTAGTATCCAAGAATACTAATTTTTAATTGGAGAACTTGAAGCAGCCACCTAGGCTAATCTCACTAGATGTTTGGGAAGCAGGAAGCACAACATGGAGAAGGGACTGTCACACATTGCACCTCTGATAGATGATGGTCAGGGGACAGGGAAAGAACCCTTGTGTCCTGACTCTCAATCATCCCCTGTCCCCATCCCTCAGTCCAGATGGTACTCACCCATGATTCTGCCAGGTCCACTCCTGTTATTCCAATGTTCAATGTGTCTCCAAATCTATCTCAAAAGTTAAATGTGATGAAAATACATCAGAGTTACTAAAAGCATTGGCTCTTAACTTTAAACTAGCCACTTCTCTAAGCCACTGCTACCTTTAAAAAACAGGACAAACACCAGCTCTATTTTATAAGATTATTGTAAGCCTTAAATGAGATCATGCACACAGCAGGTGTAGCAGAGCTCTGCAACATAGTAAGCCCTTATTACATGGTTGATTTTCATATTATTATGTCCATTTCCTACAACAGGCATTATTCTGTATTTGGATTCCTGCCCAGCTGTGATGCTGTTTTCCCTCCAGCTAACTAACCCCAGAACTCTTCATTCAAGCCATGCTCCAATTTAATTCTCTCACACGTGTCTTACCCTCTAATGGGTCACCTTTCTCTTCCCTGTGGCACCCCAAGTCCACTGGGAAAGAAATGAAGGATTCAACACTCTCAAACTTTCTTCTTATTTCATACCTTTGTTTTTATTTTTATGTTTTTCATTCTGTCCTGCCTTCCCTGGAGTGGAAACACTGTTGTAGTGGTCCTCTCTCACAAGGCCTCCAGTTTTGGCCCCTTGCAGGAATATGAGGAGGAATAAACTTTCCCTGGCATAAAATGTACAGTTTTTGTTTGTTTGTTTTTCTTCACAGACTTATCTTTCACTCCCAAAGGACCCTCTACACTTTGTGGCTCAATGTGCAGCTTGAAAATGTTCTCTGTGTCTGAATACCTGCCAAACTACAAAACAGTTCACACTTGATCATTTGACCTCACGTTTCCTCACCTTTTAAAACCCAAAGACCTTTGTCTCCACCCATTCTTCATCTGTTTTATCTTGAGATAACCCTGAGGATCATTATCTTAGCCCTGCCCCTGAGAAATTCATCTGAAACTTGGCCTACTAGACACTGCCTCCATACACAATTGTTCAAGTTCATATTGCCCACACCTATTTAAGTTCACTCAAAGCCCAAACCTTGACCTCTAAACCCTTAAATGCTCACACCTTGCATAATTCATCAGAATGTTCTTGAACATTTAACACTCTTCGAAGCCGACCACAGTCTTTATGGCTCCCCCTCAAGTCTCTGATGTACACACTTCCTGTCCACAAAATCCCTTTTTTGCATTTCTCACTCAGTACCATACAGAAGTATTCAGCATGGTACTGCCAGGACCTGCTAATATCTAGTGCCTATTTTGTCTAGTGGCCGTTCATTTTTATAGCCCATTTGACTCTCTGACATGCTCCCATTGATGTCTGTGCCAAGCCTTCTCCATCCTTCTCCAGCTTCCAGACCAACCCAAATCTTGCACTGCCAGAGTCACCATCAGAACTTAAAACCTGGACCCAACCCACCATGGGTTTCTCCACATCCTTCTCCCTCAACCTTTCAAAATATCTTCTTTAGATTCATCTAGTCTTCTCTGTCTCTGTATCAGAGGGAATGGTGCTTCAATCTGTGTTGTTCATCTTATTTCCTGCTTTTCTAATTCCTCTAATTAAGCACCCTCATCATGTATTTTAAAGTTCTTCTTCCCTTTGGCTTTAAGGCATGCACAGTCTAGCTTAGACCTTTCTGAAGCACTTGCCTCTTCCATTCTCCTCCTCCCCTTTACTATCACACATCTAAAAAAAATATTGTAGCCTTATCTTTCCACTTTACCCTGGTCATCCATTGATTCCATTCCCACCCCACTTTGTTCAAATTGTATTTTCAAACTGCAGTGAAGACTCTTCTTCTTGAAATATAATGGCTTTTTTTCAGTATTCATTCTCTTCACAAGTTCATAGAAATAATAAAACTTACAAAAATCTCTTATTAGGATAATTTCTTTGCTTCTTTTCAATGACTGAACTCAAAACAGTTTTCTCCATTAATACATAACTTGGTCTTGGGTGAGATTATTTAAATCCTCTGAGCCTCAACTTACTCACTGGTACAATAAGGGTCATACAAATTCCTTCCTCATGAGTTATCATGAAGCTCACATTCCCTATAATTAAGTACCATATATCAAGCTCTAATTATGATATTGGCGCACGCACACACACACACACACACACACACACACAATTATTTATATATAATCTCATTTAACCCTGAAACAACTCTGTGAGGTAAAACATTATTTCTCTGTCACAGATGAGAAACTAAAATACCCAGAGCTTAACCTATATACTCAAAGTCACAGAGTCAACATATATTTAAAATAAGATCACAAATAAAATCCACAGGGTCATGCCCAAATTATTTTTAAAAAATATATGTTTTTTAATTGATTTCAGAGTGAGGGAGGGAGAGGGAGAGATAGATAGAAACATCATTGATGGGAGAGAATTATAGATCAGCTGCCTCCTGCATGACCCCTACTGGGGATTGAGCCTGCAACCTGGGCTTATGGGTTGACACTCAACCACTGAGCCACACCAGCTGGGCCATGGCTATATTCTTACTACTAGATTACATTGATCCCCAAACAGGTGTAAGATTCAAAAACTTAGAGAGTCATTCAATGTAATTTATTAGCTTATAATCTTTTGTAGATATTGTGTTTCAGAATGTACTAAAATAAACCTACCTGGCAGAGCATTGGGGGAAAAGAGTAAACTGACTTCCCCCAGGTTTTCATTCATTCATATGCCCTTAAACTCAGTAGACAAACAACAGCCATTTGGCCCAATGCAGTTTATAAGCTAATGTCAGAAACCTGTAGCAGAAACTCTTGGCTCATCAGTAATCATCGTCATCATCACAATTACAATTACATGCACTGCACTTTGGATTTTCACGTACATGACACCAATTATATGAACTCTATTGTGGCAAGTAATAGTTCTCAATCGAGATGAAATGCAGCTAAAGTTCTGGGATAGATTCTGTGTCATTTGCAAACTATTTTCAGTTCTCCCCCATCTGGTTGTCCAAGGACAAGGTAACAACATACTCCACATCCTCTATGATTGGAGCAGCCCACCTGATGGTGAGGGAAAGTGGCAGTGGAGTCACCTCTGGACTGAAATACTTAATTTCTGAAGACGGAGAGCCTCAAGAACACATCTTCACTTAACCTTGACAATGAACAACATTTCAAATAGTGATAACTCTGCCCACCTGGGACCTGTTGAAGATAATGCGGGACCATTAGTTGACCACCTTACATGTTCAGCTTAATTTAAAAATATAATTTGTTCTGAGCCACGTACACCTTGGGTTATATGTTACCACAACATAACCCGGTGTTCCTGGTAGCTTCATGAATGACTTACCCAAGAACACACAGCTAGAAAATGTCAACACTCTTCTCCAAACTTCATAAATGCTAAAATCACTGTTTCTTCCACCAGGTCCCAGCCTGCTTCATAGGTTTATTGCCTCAAAAATAAAACTATAGTTTCCCAGAAGCCAAAATATAAACATAAGTATGATCTGTCTAATCTGGGTGTTTGTGAACTAAAGAAAATTTGATATTTTCACTTATTTCATAACTAGGCCAAGTCAAGTTCTTCTAATACAAGAGGTTTAGAGTTCTAACAGTTCCCACCTTTAGGACAGACAGAAAAATAGTTCTCACCTCAAATAACTAATGTGTTGGTCATATAGGAAGTAGCAATTAAGTGACAAGGACTGCCACACCACCCAGGGTGTGACATTGTGCTTTGAGAGCCTCTCAAAGGCAGCATTGACTCAGGATGACCTCAGAGGAGAGGTGGGGAAGCCAGGCTTGCCATATAAACATGGCCCCTTTCCTACCTCATGGCTGATACAGCTGCTGTCACAGCCTGAGCAGCCTTTGCATAGCAGCCACCTCCACCATGAAGATCATTGGGGGCCTCCTCCTGCTGTACACAGTGACCTACTTCTGCAGCAGCTCAGGTGAGGGAAGGGTAGAGAGTGAACAACCATTAAGCTTCTTTTTCCAAATAACCTTTCCTGGGAAGTGAGCATCTGAGAGAAGTGTCTGGTAGTGTTGATTTTAACTATATGGGTTTAGAATCAAATGCATACTAGTTTAGAAAAGAAACAGCCCTGGCCTGGGAATGGAGAATCTTATGTCCCTAATAGAATTGAGAGGGTAGGGGGCTTAGCTCTAGTGTCTTCCCATTCAAGGATTTTTGGGAAAAAATCCATGGAACAAAGAAATGAACTCTTTTCTTCATAAGAACATTGGAAGTTGTTATACAATATTGGATACTATTCCTGTTATTGGATACTATTCCTCTGAGCAAAGATGCAGAACAACTTGGATGCCTCCCTAAATCAATCTCAGGCACTGAGTTGGACCTAAATGGTCAACTAAGACATTGTTGGGCAGCATCAATTGTTACTTTCCAGGATCAACAATTAGACTTTTTATATGGTTAAAAAAATAAAATAAGATGTAAACACCTTAAAATGATATTGCAACCCTTCATATCAATTAGAAGGGGAAGAATATCCAAGATGGTGCTTCAGTTCTTGGCAATGGTGGCTGTAATACTGCCTGTTGCGATATGACTTTAAATCACTACCAATGTCACAATGAGCTCCAGAAGTGTCCCCTGGTAAGGAAGGGAGGAGATTTGGGTAATTCCCTTGCCTGAACCAAGGGTTTACCTGATGACTGTTTGCAAACAGCTGAAATTTTTGCATAAGAATGGGGTGTGTGCTGAGACTTATTGCCAGAGAAAACATAGAGTCTTAATCGCTGGAATCGAAATGACATTAATTAATGAGACTTCAAGACTTTGCTTTTATAGTAATATTTCTATCTCTACTTCTCTTTCAGAAGCTGCTAGTCTGTCTTCAAGAACCGTGAGTATATTGAATTACATTTTCATTTCACTTACTATTGACTGTCACATAGTCAACAAATAATTACCAAGTATATATGTAGCATTAAGTCAGTATGTTTAGGGTGATAAAAAGTGGAGGCAGACACACATAAAGAAATCTCCTCTGCTGTTTGAAGAAGTATGACATGAATAACCATAGACTTAAAATTATTCCCGAGTTAGAAAAGAGAGAGATGACTTCCAGTTGAGAGACTGGTGAAGTCTTGATGGAAAGGACAACATTTCAGAGGTAGGATCTTGCTTAATTGCACAGACTCTGGATTCAGATCTCAACCTCACCACTTCCTAGCTTTTATGTTATACAAATTCTCTCTTCCAAGCCTTCATCTCCCCCAACCCTGTCAATAGGGGTAATAGTAGAACCTACTCTATTCAGTTGTTCTGAAGATTAAACAAAATTCCTGTAAGATTTAAGTTTAATGCCTGGCCTGGAAATGCTCAGGAATTGTTAACTGCATGCACAAGTCATAATAGAAGTGGTGCCAGTGTAACTGGTATTAGTCACAGTGACATTAGTGCTTAAAGTAGCGACACCAGCATCAGAATATCTGAGCTGGAACTTCTAGGTTGGTATTTTGCTTCCTATACAATAGAGGCCAGGGTAGCCTAGCCTGGGATCCAGGAGCAATGCAGAACATTCCCCTTGTGTCTGTCACAGGTGGACTGCAG